ATTACAAGAATAAAGTATTGTCACCTTTGAATTCTTCTGGTATAGCTGCCTCTGAAGTTACCAATCATTCTAATACCTCCCCTTACTGGCTAAGTTGCAGATGAGTGACACCAGTCCCCAACTACAGGCACATGTGAGATGTTACACAATGCCTCTGGTTGTGTCTGTACTTGTAAACTGAACAGTGTCAGGTCCCATCCTGAGAACTGGAGAACGATCAGCTACACTCTTCTTCTTAATATACTTGATACTTAAATTGCAGCAATGCAGTTACCATGGCACTGTGCAAAAGTGATTTGTTGAAACCTGTCTAAAATACCTCTGATAGAGGATATTTATTTGCTGTGGAGATTTGTTTAAAATATTACCTCATTTTCAGTGCCTTAGTGTCATAGTTCCATTGGGCAATCTACAATTTACATCTGGGAAAGGAGAAAAAGTACCTATGATGAAACTTCCCTTTTGATTCAGTTTACAAGAATATCAGCAGAACCTCAACAGACAAGATAATTACTTTTCACAACACTGTCACTTGCATAAAATATTAAATCCTCACAGGCAGGCATATGATCTTTTGTGACCCATGCTGTATGCACTCCACTTATGGCAATATTTTAACAGTTAAAAAACAGAAGAAAATGCATCTACAGAAGAAATGCTGGTAAATGGAAAGGACATAATATTAATGATTGAAATCAGAAAAGTTATCATTTGGATGCTTTTGAACACTAAATATTTTGTGTAGTTGTACATAATGTAACTGCATGTATATAACTGTACATTGCATTTACACTAATGCTGCAGGTAAAATTCTTTAAAAAAAATATAAAACACACCAATACCAGTCAAAACATCCAGACCTTAGTGAAGGAGAGCTAGCAGTAGTAGATACACACAGAGCAGAAGTAGATTTTGGGGGGTTTAAAGCCTATTGCCAGTAAAATGAGTGTGCACCAGCTCTCCAAATCCCCTCTGGTGCCACAGCTCTCTGTATTTTCGGGCTCACACAAATCCTTTCTGCTCAAAATGTGCCCTTACACAGCCAGTCTACTATTACCATTTTAGTGCTCATTCTCAAATCTGTGCTGCATCTGTACAAATTTGTACCAGAGATCCTGATATTAACAGAAAAAGGTGGAGCGTAGAGAGGCACTCCAGAAGAAAGAGCCAGATGTTCAAACAAGATAGTAAGTAGGAGAGAAGGCAGCTTTGGCAGAAAGTGCTGTAGGGAAGGGAAGGGTGGTTCCAGGAATTGGGAGTATAAATTCTGATTAGGGCTGGGCTGGTATTTCCCACTTCAACTGCCTAGTTTTCTCTTTAATGAGGAAATGGAATTTTTACTTTTGCCCCCAATCAATTAAGAACTGGAACAAGGACTTGCCTTCATAGGTAAGCTGACCCAAATCTCAGCATAACCCCACTGAATGAGAGCATTTCAACTTGTACCTGATCTTACTGCAAAATTATTGTCCTTCAACTCTAATTAAATATATCTGTCAAAGGAAGTGCAGCACTCAATCCTTTTCAAAGAGTAAGATAAAAGTTACTGCTTTCTGAACATGTTTAGGGTAGATCTTCTCTTCTTGGATATGCTCCATAGTCTAAAACACTAAGCAAAAAACGTAAGTCAGAGATCCTGAAAAACAGTCAGGAACAGGCAGACACATTTCTGAATTTACACTAATATGGATGGTTTGGTCGTTGTGATTTTCATTGACTTGTACAAAAAGCCCACCTATTTTAGCTCTGCTGATACATGAGTGAAAACCAGTCTGTACCAGGGCATACTCACAACTATTTTGTATGGAAATGCCACTTACAGGACAAACACAAAGTAATGTGTCACTTTATCAATAAAATAAACTAGGCCTCATGTAGATTAAGGATCTGAGTCAAATTAAAAAACAAAGCAGAGCCACTAATTTGATCACAGGGCTGGAACATCTCTTATGAAGACAGGTTGAGAATTGGGGTTGTTCAGCCTCAGGTTCTCAGAGAGAGAAGGGCTGGGGTGACTTCAGAGCACCTTCCAATAGTTAAAGGAGGCCTTCAAGAGAGATGCAGAGGGACTTTGCACATGGACATGTAGTGAGTGTAGAGACAGGACAAGGGAGAATGGCCTTAAGCTGAAAGGGGGTGGGTTTAAGTTAGATATTAGGAAGAAATTCTTTACTGTGAGGATGGTGAGGCACTGGCACAGGTCACTCAGAGCGTATTTGGACTCCCCATCCTGGTAGTGTTCAAGGCCAGGTTGGGTGGGGCTCTGAGCAACTTGGTCTAGTGGAAGGTTCTCTGCCCACAGACAGGGGGCTTGGAACTAGAACATCTTTTAAGTCGCTTCTACCCCAAATGAATCTATGATTCCATGACCTAGAGATCCTTTAAAATTCAGGAACTCCTTTTCTTCCAGTTACATAAACTGGAAGTGGTGCTAAACCTGATTATTTTCTGCAGGTTTTACTATAAATTGTTCATTTTCATGACAGGACTATCTAATATTCAACACAAAGAGTCAGTTGATGAATACAATGAGCTTTGAAATAGAGATAATGATCAAGAGGTAAAATTTTTTAATAGATTTATGTACTTCCATTCAGTTTAAAATCCCCATGCTTCTCAAGATCAGACAAAATATATTAGCTATGGACACATGCCAAAAGAAGTACTTAATCTTTAAGAAAGATAAAAAGATAGAACTGAGTGATTCAGTGGAAGGATGAGACAAAGGGGGAAAATTACTCCAGTCAATTAATGATACATGTTTCCTCCTTATGCCCTACAACATTCATAGAGTAATCAGGCTGGAGAGGTCCTCTAAAGTTCATTAAACCGTTCCTCTTCCTCAGGGAAGGCACCACTACACCTGAAGGTACACAGACATCTATACCTGCAGATGTTTAATCCAACATCACAAGTCTTTTCGTGGACATTGCACAACCTCCCCAGGCAAGGAGATGCACTGCTTCACTGTACTCCTGCATCTGAAATATGGTCCTTTCTTCCTGAAATTAGATTACATTCACCATTTTCAAACCAGGAAACATGAAGAATGCAAATATAAAAGGCTGCTGCAAAACAAGATGGAGTAATCTGAAAGCTGTTACATCCTCTCTCACAACTCTTGAAGCTGGACATCTCAAACCTGCTTTAAGCTCCATATATAAACCCCATGTGCATAATACATTTTACATGCACTTGCTGTGTATTCAGGGTAATATTTTAAAATCACATTTCTTTTGTTCAGATATTAAAAACCAGCAGTGTGTGGTAAATCTTTTCACTGTTTTGTTTAAATTGGTAGATGTGCTTAATTTCAGACAATTATACCAGCCACAAGAACACAGAATGATTCTTGGCTTGGTAACAGAATTTTGGAAAGAACATTAGATAATTAGTTTTGGTTCAATGTTTGCTGAATGACTAATAGCTTAACTGATGTAAATCATATTACCTGTGGAGTAAAAAAATACTGAAGTAGAGATGACACATCAGACCTAGATGATTCCTTTATCTCATAGGCATTTCACTCACATTTAGCCACTATCTCTACATTTATTTATAGTGAGTTTTAAAAACTGATTCTCACCACTAAGTTCTAACACGTAAGAAACAATCAGGGTTTCCATGAAGGCTACAGCATCTGATCATACTGACCATAAGAGTATGAACCTTAAATGTCACAAAGGATGCCAGCAGAGGCTCAACTTCTAGGAACTGCAATTCTGGATAAATACTGATTCTGGCAGTATGGAAAATGAAGCGACCACTGACTGAAAAACATTAATGAAACGCAGACTAACACTTGCCTGTTTTGCTTGCATGATGAAGTTAATTCATTTGCAATGATGTTGCATTAATACGCCAGCTTCTACTGAAACTTCCAATCTTCCCCAGACAGCTGTTCAAGAACAACTTTAACCTACTGTTAATCTGTTTAATCAACCTCAACAAGCTTCATGCCAGGTCCTTATGTGGATAGTGATGTGGATTGAGAACTGGCTGAATGGCAGATCCCAGAGAGTAATCAGTGGCAGAGGGTCTATAGGCACAGGACAGTGGCGGCTGTCACGAGTTGTGTCCCCCAAGGTTCAATATTGTTTAACTTATCAATGACTTGGATGAAGGGGCAGAAACCTGCTCAGCAAGTTCCCTGATGAAAACACTAAGCTGTGAGGAGAGGCCAATACCCCAAAGGGCTGTGCAGCCCTTCAGAAGGACCTCAGTGGGTTCGAGAGAGGGGCAGAGAGGAACAGTTTCAAATTTAACAAAGGCAAATGCAGTGTCTTGCACCTGGGGAGGAACAACCCTGGGTACCAGCACAGGCTGGGGCTGGCTTGCTGGGAAGCAGCTCTGCAGAGAAGGACCTGGGGGTCCTGGTGGACAATAAGCTGTCCATGAGCTGGCAGTGACCTTGTGGCCAACAAGGCCAGTGTTGTCCTGGGGTGCATTAGGAAGAGCACTGCCAGCAGGTCCAAGGAGGTATTTAAAGTGTATCCCAACTTTCTTTGAGATGACATAAATGGCATACTAGGGGCAGTTGGCATGCACCTTCTAACAGTACAAAGCATATTCCTTTAATCATATAGGCTTCAACCTAACTACATGATCAATACTATCACAATACTTACATTGTGAATGCAAGTGCATGAAAAGCAAAACACTCACTTAATCAGTCAGTCAGAAGAATCTTAAATCACAGGAAATATACTCATTTTAAGCTGGAAGTTAACCATTTCAAACTCAATGCATTACCACCCTATGGATCAACCACTGTGGGGACCAAGGGCCAATTACCAAATTCCCCATCCCTCATCCTTGGAAGGGTTGCAATAAGTAAAACCTACCAAGGCTAGGGTGAGAGAAGCCTTCTCCCCACAGACCTTTGCATTCTCATGTTAATTAGTTCCTAGTTCCATTATCTCACTGGTCTGTTGGCCCCGACCACCCCTGTTCAGCCCCCACTTCTCATTTATGTATACCCCCTAAAATGTTCTCCCTTCCTTGAACCCCTATTGGCCCTGCTTTGGTGCATTGCCCCGCCTTGCCAATTCCCAATGGTTGTCCCTGTCCCTAACCCCTCCTATGCACCACTTTGCCCTACTCCCATTGGATCCTAGCCCTCTGAACCGCCCCCTCTTACCCTCTATATAAGCCTGGACCCTCAGCTGTTTTTGTTCTTGTCCTTGGACCCCATTTGAGGCAATAAAAGCTTTTGGATACCCAAACAAGAACCTGTCCCGATATCGTTTTCCCAGTAGCTTTCTAATAGTCTCCTGCCCCAGACCCGAGTGTGCAGGCAGCCTTGGGGACCTCAACGTAGCACGTTGCTACAAACCACATTTGGTTTTTTACTGCTCTTGACAGCCCACAGAATCGTTGCTGAAATACAGATGCCTTCAACCATAAATGCAGCTCTAGATCAAATATAATGGGATTTAGGCCCACCACAAGAAGGAGCAAACTCTGCCAAATACCTGCTCTTACAATGCCAGTTCTGTCCACTCAGTCCCCAACTCTCCCTGTACCAACCATGATGGAGGCCAGTTTCCACTGTTAACCTTTCCACATTGCTATAGCCCCAACTATGATGTAAGCACATCAGAATTGCACACAGATAGTTTCAGAGATAGCATAATGCTCTAGGGGGAAGATGTTGCAGTAGTACAAATTTTAACTTGCCACTGCATTTGGACTTCGAAGTCGTGAATATCAAAAGTCAAGACTCCAAAAAGAGGGACAAACCCCAAAGCAACCACAACTGCATTCACATTTTCTCAGTGCCTAAGGAGAAGTAATAATGGTACTTACAGCATGGTGAGACTGACATTGGAATACTGAATAGTTCTGTGCTAAATAAAAAGCATGAGAAGCTTATGGACAATGCAGAAATTTGACAGCTAGAGGTAAAAAACTAGGTATTGAGAGACTCATCCTTTAGTTGAATGCAAGGGCAGAGGTGATGACTACAATGGAAATTTTTTAAGATAATAGCAGGTGAAAGGGCCTTTTTAAACTAAAGGCATCAATACAGTTAAAACCAGAAGGAATTAAAGCAGTAAAATTAAGTCAGGAAGAAAAAAAAATTATCCATGTGGCTAATTTTTCTATCATCTACCAACAAAATCAAAAAATATGAGGATATAAGAAACCAAGGCTTTTACTGAGGTAATTGCAAAGATTCTATAAATACTGTCCAAGACACCTGACCATATTAATACCTCCCTGGTTTATAAAGCAAAACACTTAAGAACCTATGAGCCTCTCAAAAACATTTACAGTGATAGGGAGATTCACTGATTCTTGTTGGATCCAAAGTTCAGGCTTTTTTATCTACAAAAAGGCAATTTATAAAGGCTTTTGAAAAGCAATAAAAAGGTTCCCTTAGGATCAAAGGTAAAAATTTAATTTATTTGCTAAACAGTGACCTACTTAGGTTCAAGGATTTTTTTAACTTTTTTAACTAAACACTTTTTTTTGAAGCATAGGAGACTACTGGCATGGCCTAGAAGTGCTTGTTACATGAACGTATGCCACTTGATCTATGTTGAACCATGGCTGGCTTTCCAAAACAGAAACATCAGGATCAGGTTTTATATTCACTAAATCTAAATTAATAGGACCCTTCTGTACACTTTGTACACTGGTGTGGCATCCTTACAGAAAGACTCAGAGGAACACAAATCAGGAATTCTCAACTGTCCTCTTGACAACCATTTGCTACTAAAGGCAACCCAAGAATATAAAGCCAAAGTCAGTTTTTGAAAAATACAACTGTGTGTCATCCTTCAGAAACCAGAAAAATTTGTTGCACCCTTGTAAAGATAAGCCTTTCAGACAAAATAACTTACTCTTGATCTTTTATCTAAGCAGTCACAAAGATTTCAAAAACTGAAACTAACAGCTCTTAAGTTAAATAAAAGACAAGCAGCCTCATTGTATACAGGAATTCTTATACAGAAAACATCCAGGGTTACACAATAACCAGTTGCTGGTGATTTCTGAACAAATACAATTGGTTCACAATGGACCATATTCAGTGTCCTTTGGTCAGTACTTTAACTTTCATAAACTTTTCAATAATTAACATAAAGTTTAAGAAGTTCTGGTTTCGTGTTCAACAATGAATCAAAATACAAATCCATTGGTACGGTGTCCCAATTTGAAACAGCCCCTTTTTCAAATGAAAAATGAGGTAAGAATTTTCTTAAAAAAAATAATATAAATCAATGAAATAGTCGTCCTCTTCCACGTCTACTCTTGAGATGACTGGCAGAACGCCGAAGAGTCTTCCTCTCTTGACGATGTAGTTTCTCAGCTTCCTGCTGTTTCCTTTGCTGCTCTGACTGGAATATTAAAACAAAAATAGACTCAGGTTCCTGTAAATTTACACATCATCTCATTGTCCCAGGATGAATATATCAAGTCAGAATTCCATTAAGCAAATCTGGAAATGTTACCATTAGTTGCCCCATGCTATCTTGTGTCATACTGTGACTGTTAATTCTAGATACCCTTAAGCATTACCATTCCAAGTTTTTCAGAGCAGATGTTTAACATACAGATATTAATAATGCATTACAGATAAAAAACAATGCTTAACAATACACTCCAGAATTTATGGTTAAATACCCTTAAGAACATCCATCCCAATTTGTGGCTACTTAGTATCTACTTTGGTTAACTAGTGTTTTCAAGTTTAATCACAGAATAGAAGCAGCGGAGTTGGAAGGGACCCTCAAGTATCACTGAATCCAACCCCAGGCCCTAAGGAGTGTCCCTGGCCAGAATCACACTGTGTGCCCAAGGGTATTGTCCAAATGCTTCTTGAAATCTGTCAGGCTTAATATTGCACAATTTAATTTTATAAAGACAGAACAATTAGTTAAATTTGCTGAAGCATACACGTTTCCTAAAATGTGCTCTTAGGAGTTATTGAAAGTGTTTGATATACTGTATGCAATTCTAGAAGGACTTTCTACATAGAAGTAATTCTACATCTCTGCTCTTGTGGCACATGCTCTATTAATGTTTCTTCTCATAATCAAAAACATGCTGGAAGATGTTATGATGTACCATGCAGATGAAATTGCTCTTACAGACACAAACTACTATTTTCTTTGGAAGACTAAAGCTTGTCTTTAAACTAAGCATAAACTGTAACTAGCAGACTTGAACTAGCCAAGCTCAGGCAGCTGTCCATGTCAAAAATTATTCCAGTAATTCGAGCAATTTCAAGCAGCCCAGGATAAATGCACCGACAGTGTGACAGAATTCCCACTGTGGATGCAGCTGTGGATGCCCCACTGCATCTCATTCTGTACCAACAGCATTCATGTCAGCTCATCTGCCCCAGTCTCCCATGCACACACCATTTAAGCTGAGCTAGAGGTTTGCTTGCATGGACAGCATTTTGGCTGAGGTGAGATACAAACCAATTTACCAGATGTAGCGATCAGCCCATACTGGTATCAAGGCAGAAAAAGCTACTGGTCTTTAGACCTTGATGAAATTTATGAATTCCCATTTTCACTGCAAGTAGAGCAACAAGAAATCCACTATTTGAAAATACAGGTAGTTTCTCTCTGTTGCCAGACCTCTTCTGAAAGTCTTGATGAATCCTACTTAAGTAAGAAGATACACAGAGTCCGTTTATTTGAGAGAAGACTTGTATATCTTTGTTGTTCTCTTGATAGGAGAAAATATCTCCACTGCAGATGCATTATTTTTCTTTACATTAGATTTTAAAAAACCGTTTTAATGCAGATGATTACAGTGCACATATTTCAATAAAGCAGAATCATTAAACAATCAGGAAAAGAAAATCCATAAATGTTAGAAGCACCATAATTAAAGAAAGCCCTCAAAGCTGTATCTTATCTGATGGAATCAAGTAAAATTGGCATTCCAAACCACTGCTGTATCTGTCTTCTTCCCGCAAGGTCTGCCTACCTTGCTCCAAAATCTGTCAGTAAAAGGTGACAGTTCAGTGTGCACCACCAACTGCAAGAAACCTTGTGGCTTTGCACTTCTTAAGTTAAAGCTACTGTAAAAAAGACTGTGCTTTGACCCCTGCAAAGCCCGTTTAATAAGCTACAAGACACCAACGTATCAGTTACAGAGCTGGTAAGATTGCCAGAGAGGTTACCCTACATGGCACTGCAGAGGAATTTGTAACTTATTCCACAGTTACCACATTTCAAATTCCAGCAATATAAGGAATCAAAAAGAGATGAAAAAAGATATCTGCAAACAGATAATAATCAGTAAAGTAAGGTAGAAACAGTCAATAAATCTTTTTCTTTTCCCTTCAGACATATCCAATGTGACAATTAAATAACTACTTAGCCACTTTTGTGAGAGCGTTTTACCAGTGAGAACAGCATTTGAATGGTGGTAAGGAGAAATGTATTACAGCAAAGATACTTACCTGAGAAACACCAATTTTAACCAAAGTAAATTTTGTCAGGTCAAGTATCAATTCATATGGGTCTTCAGCTTTTAGACTGAATCCTCTCTTCAGTTCTAAAGCAATTTTCTAGTAAAAAATCCTTAAATGTACTGCAGCAGGAACAGATGCACACAGGCATTTATTTAACTGTCCCTACACTATAAAGCAATCACCTGTATGAAATCTACAGAAGTCTTTAGAATGGAAAATCAAAACCCTTGGGAAAGGTAATTAGGCAGCAGTCAACTACACACTCCACATAGAATGTGACTGCCAGTATAGGACCAGAGCTCATTCCTGTGATCTGTTTTACATAAAGTCAAAAACAAAGGTGGTTTGGAGCTCAGCTTCTATCTTGCTGAGACCTCTCAACATGCTAAACCAAGAGAAAGCCTAAATTGAAGCACCCTAAATTGCATTTGGACTGCAGACTTAGATCTGATCAGTTCTGGCACTGAAGTCAGGCAAGGCCACAAGCTTCTGGTGGTACCTCTGCAAATAAACTATTAAAAGATGCATGCCATTATTTTCCACTGGAACATAAGATTTTATGAGTGTTGCCTGAGTTATATGGGATAAACACAGAGTACTACCGGAGGCTTTCATTCTCTTGCCAAGAACCTGAAGAGTTGGCAGCTTATAAAGAAATGAAGAGGGACATTTGCTTGACGGTTTTAAGTTCCTGTTCTTTCATGCAAAAACTAAAGTTACTTGTGCATTATCTTAAAAATTATATATATATAGCTCACCTTCTTTAATTTGAATGTTGCCTGTTTGCTGCCTACTGTGGTATCAGACACATTGAGTGTGCCAAGTTTTTCTTCAAGCTTTAAACGATCTTCAAGAGTTTTCCTGCAGAGAAAAACTAATGTTAGTCCCTATTCTTGCCATCTTTTTACTGTAATAAAAATTGATAATGCAGTCAAAACTAATCTCTATTTCTCTGAAAATCTGAAATGTCATAACTAAAGAAAAATAAACATTCAGGAAACAGAAAGAAAGAAATTCAAATCATTCCCTCCAGATACAGCTTTCAGTAGAAACACTTTTAAAATTTATGTAAAGTTCATTGTTTTTGCTGCTAAAAAAGTAACACGACTCTAGTTGAGAAAGAAAACATGTCCTTCTACTGCTATAGTTTTCTATGAAATGTCTGAAAAGTTGGTGATATTAAACTGCACAAATGAAAAACAGTAAGGCTAGATATATTCAGTTTTCTTGAAATATTATAATTTCTGAATTGGAAACACTTTTGAGGGAAAGAAGTAAGCTTGACTATACACTAGAATGAATTATCTCCGAATTAATCACTTCACTACTTAATCCAAGCACAAATGCCTGTTTGGACACTGTGCCCGCAACAGTGTAAGTAGTTTTCTGAATAAAAGAAAAAAAATAAGAAAGAAAAAAAAAAAGAAAAAGAAAAAAGAAAAAAAGAAGAAAAAAAGAAGAAAAAAAAAAAGAACAGTATAAACAAGAGAATGTGATAAAGATAGACTCTGGGCCCAGACAAGAGCTCCACAGAAGCATGTGCCTTCCAGCACAGTGTTTATCACTGAATTTCTGTCAACAAACTGGTGCAGAGCTTCTCCCTCAGGCACCAAACTCCAGCATTTCTGTGGAGAAGGGGGAAGCTGGTGTGGTCAAAAATGACACTGTTTTCAGCTTTTCTCCATTGGAAGTTAATGCCCTGCACAAGGCCCAGCTGCTCCAGGTTGTGAGCTGGTATTTAATTTGCTGAATTCAGTTAAGGTGGGCTGTAAACTGGAAGAGATGAAGAGTGGAAAAATGCCTTGTTCCCACATAGCCTCCAGCTCAGGGGAGAGGCAGGCAGGGACAGTACTGGCTTCAGCCAGCCACCCTAAAGGCACCTGTGAGTCCTGACATGGCTCATCCTTCTCCTAGAATGTAACTCCTATGAGCTAAGTAGCACCCTCTCAGAATAAGACATGGCTTGTACAATCAAACTCACTCTGTGTCTGCTTAGAAAACAGTCTCCTATTTGTAAACAAAATTCGTTTCTGCAATTTGAAATGCTATTAGTGCCTCATTAGCTCTCTCTGAAGAGGGCCAAGAAACATTTTCTGTACAATTTTTAAAGTGGAAAATAAATCATCATAAAAATAGAGATGATATATATAAAAAAATTGGCAGCCACCAATGTCAGTGACATTCATTGTGTATGAAGAACTCATGGCTGTGGCCTAAGCATGAAGTCTCTGAGTCCACTGAATTTTGTTTAATGAGCCATTTTATGTAACAAAGACTTTTCAGATTAACAATGAAAAATTACTGTCAAGAAATACTTTATTTCTCATGACTAGGTACTTTGATTGTATTTTTTTCTGTAGTATATTTTTCCTTGAGTACATGTAAAAACTTGTTCCATCTGTGCGAATCGGAAAGACAAGCTAAGCCTTAGAGCTAACTGTGGCAGAAGATCAGTCACCAACATTGTGGTGGGATTTCTACATTCAAGTGAAGTCCCATTTTTCTCCCCTTTGAAAGGGAACTGGAGAAATATGGCTACTACCCAGCAATTATTTAGCATGACTGCTTAGACACTGCTTTAGTCAGGAGAAAAATTAAAATGAGTAGATACTAGCAACATGCTGTGGGGTTGTAACCTTACTGAAAAAACACAGGTATGGCTCTATCTGAGAATGTTCAGACTACAAGGGATAGTGAATTGTACATACTGCTACACAAACAACAGCTGGGTTTTTTGTTTTGGTAGGGTTTTTTTTCATCTTCCTCAACAAATTAATTCAAGGGATACATTCAGAGCATTTTGAGAGTGAATTCCCCTGCCTTAATGTAAAAACCAAACAAAAAATTACCCATGCAATTTTTTTCCTCATTATAAGAACACAGTTTTTCAGGACTTTTCCAGCTATAAACCAGGAATACCTCTTTAGCAATAATAAGGAATATCAATTATGCTTTTGTTGGCTTTCTTGGCCACCTCTGAAGATACATCCATTAATTGTCATACTTTTTATAAAATATGACTACTATAATTTTTGATTTTGACACATTTTAACTTCAGTAACATACTCTTTAAAGGGACAAAGTAAATCAAGATAACTTTTAGCATACAGATAAAGATCCTTTCCTTTTACAGTTTCCTTTCAAGTTACTAGGTAGGAAACTTATGTTGTAGGGAAAGAAAGCAAGGATTTGCAGGTTTGTTGTGCAAGCTTAAGTGTACAAAAGGGGAAAATTAAACATACATGGATTTGAGACCAGGTGTTTTATAAAACCATGAGCAAATTTTGCAGTTCTCCTGCACAGAGAAATGTGTAGACTGTTGGTCTAAGAAAAAATTTATAGTACGCACCGCTGCTTTAAAAGTTGGGCTTGGAGCCGTGCTGAGTCAGGAACATGTCAAAAGAAACACCCAGTTTTATATAAGTCATAAACTGTTTCCTCAGGTAGAACATTATATGATTAGAGAAAAAAAGAACATCTAGCCATTAAATGCATAGTGAAGGTATTAAGATACTTAATTATATTGGTCACAGACCATCATTCCGTAATTTGGATATATCAAATCAAAGACAAACATGCCAGCCTCGCCAGATTGTACATGCCACTACAGTCTTCCCAGTTTTCAGCATGCTACTTGAATTAATTACTTTTATGCTGACTACTTATCACTGAATAAGGCCAGCACAAAACGTATTTATTTTCTTCGTAAAATTCTAATATGCAAAAATACTTACTAACCAAACAAGTTAGCTCACAACACAGCCTAACTCATTACGACTACAAAATCCTGTCGGATATGCATTATATGAAACAGGTATCAGCTGTTGATTTTTAAATTACTTCTAAGAGTTCGGGTAACACCAAACTCCATACTGAGAGCAATGCTTGGATGAACACAAAGGGGATCAGAGAATACAGAGCTAATTGCTTGGACAAAGATTAAAAAACCCCATGTAAGTCAACTCAATGACAGCAACTCAGAAAACAAAGGAAGTGATGCTACCACGTTCAATTTTTTGGTCATCCTATTCTGTCCTCAAATTCCTTTAAATTTTTTTTACATTTTACATGATATCCTATCTGTGCATCTACCAGAGATGGTATCCATTAGCAGCAAATCTAATGACAGATTCTCCTTTCTTTCCAAGCAGTCTGTTAAAAGACTTTTGATGACTTCTGTCATCACAGATAGTTCTTCATCTACAGGACAGGTCTGTGGTATTTGCTTTTGATTTTCCGGGGGTGAAGAAATTATTTTTCTTCCTTAAATCCAGATGAAAGAATTTACTTTGTTCAGTGTCACACTGCATCATTTTTTTCTAAATATTTATCTTCCTTCCAACTGTCTTGGCTTATTTACTTGAATTTCCACACCACTATTCACATTTAAGGCTTCCATGTTTTGAATAAAATGACATTTTTATGCTTCAAACTGAGCATCCTTGAGAATTTGCAGCTGAATTTGTGCAAAAGAACAATATATGAGTAGGCTGCAGCCATACAGCCTTTTAATGAAGAATTTCACTTGCACTGAGAATACAGTGTCATTTGACCAGTGTTTCAGGTTCCTTCTAAGTTACAGCTATTACAACTATAAACCTAATCACAATGTAAAAAAAAAAAAAAAAAATTAACCTATTGTACTTTGTCAGAATATCCAAAGTAGATTTTCTCCTGACAAAGAAGAAAAACTGACAAAATTAAAAAGTTGCTTCATCTTCTGGAACAAAGGAAAAAAGAAAAATAATCAGAAGAAAGTTAATGGAAATATCTAAAGAAATTAGAAGTTCAGAATAAGTGGGTATATTCAATTAAAAGAACAAAGAAAAAATCTCTGTGTGAAATTCCTTGCTGATAATAAACAGCTAAGGAAAACATGGCAATCAGTCCTGCTGAACCGCTATAAATCCCTATTTATAAAATACCACTATTTCTACTTAAAAGAGGTCTCACAGGTACAACATGGAAATCATAGACCATCTGACTACCATAGGAACGCTGTCTTGCTAACACTTAAAAATCCATTTTACATGATCATTCCAGTTAAAAGGCTGAATTTTTATCAAGTGTTTCTTTATGTGTCTCCTGAAAATTTCCATAATAAAACAACTAGATTGTAGTCATTAGCGACATAAAGGAACAACCCCATTGTATTATTCACTTTATTTTCCTTGACTGCATAATTTCATTCTAAATAAAACCAAAATGTTTATTACAAGATCCATCTAGCTCAACTACCCATTTCCAACATCAGTCAAAATCCTGCTCTGCACCAGCTGTGCTGCAAGAACTTTGAAGCTACTGTCTTAAAAGGTTTAATGAGTGTCTGTGCTCCAAACAATAAAATGCTATCAAACCTCAGGGCTCAACTAACCTCTGAAAAAAACTAAATCAATGAGATTTGCAGCCACTGAGCACCTCAAAACCAAGTCCTTCAATTTAATGTGCTCCTTCTTTAGTTTGACATGCTTATCCATGTACCCATTATTTCAGATGATCATCAATTTAAAGAAATGAAAAAACCAAACCAAAAAAACTACACTTAACAAACACCCTCCTAACCTGGTGTTTTGTATTGCAAAAAGAGAAACAGAAATAGTAGGTCCCCATATTATAAGGACAGTGTAGATTTTGAAAATTACTAGATTCCATAAAAACATCTAGACAAAACAATTTTTCTTTTACCATGTTGACCCATGTTGATCCTACTCCCAAAACAGTGACTACTCACGTAGCATTCTAAATCCTTTTATATAGTCAGATGAAAAACATCCAGTCTGTTAACCTCATACTGACACTGGTGGAGAAATATAACCAGTCTCACAAGACAAGTGTTACCTGTGAGAACAGCACTTCACCAACACTGAGTAATGGATCCCCCGATCTGACTCAGTAATATCTTACTCATTTCATGTGTGTTGTGCCTCTGTCCTGCTTTAAGTAGTGTATTGTTTATAAAACAAAGCTTTCAATGACTATGTCACTTTAAGTTATACCCTTGGATCACCAAATGTAGCTTTACTAGCAAGTGCTTCCAAGCCAAAACATCATGGGCCTGCACTGTAGGGAAATACTTGAGAATCATCCACCCCCACCTATTAAAATAGGAACATTAGTCTTACTTCATTAATTTTTGTTTTTTGGCAGAGTCTTTGAAGCTTCTGAATTCCTCTCCTTCTTTAATCTCAAAAAACTGAGGTTTTAGTAATGTTTGCTGATCCTCCTTGAGCCTTTCCTGCCGCTTTAGTTTTTCCTCTTGGCGTAAAAGCTTGCGCTGTTTCCTGACCTCTTCAACCCAGCCTTTTTCATCATCTGAACTCTCAGAACTTTCTGCATCACTTGCTTTTCCTTCTGGTTCTTCCTCCTCTTCCTGCTGACAAAAATAGTATAAAATAAGAAATCATAAACTAATTTTCTTTCCAAATCATTCCTGCAATTAGAGTATGTGACAGCTTTTACATAGATACAGCTGAACTACAATTTTTGAACCTAGGCAGTAGCAGCAAATGAAGCTGAAAATACATTACAAAGGTTGTTACCATCCACATATTTTTATGTTTTTCAAACCTGTATTTGTGCAAAAACATTATTACATCTAAAAACTAGATTAAAATTATAAATACAGTTAATTATTGTAGCTGATAAGACATTCTTGCATTGCCTCCATCTTTCTGGGTCAAAATTCTGAAAACTTGAAACAGAGGAAAATAAAGCCTATGGAGTTTTCTTAATCCAAATGGAAAATATTTTACCTGTCCTTGTGCTTCCAGTTCTTCTAAGATCTTTAGCTTCCTCTTTCTTTTCTCACTTATTTTAGAAACAAGTGGATTAAGTAGCCTAAATTCTTCACTCTGCTCATCCACCTGGAAATCTGGATTCTCAAACATGACCTTAAAACGATCATCTTTGAGAAGGCTGGGCAGATTCTGAAACAGAAGCAAAGCACAAGCCAAGTTAGACAATTCTGAAACAGACATTAATGAAATAAGTAACACTTTCTCTTAATTAACAAAATTAATAACCAGCATATGAAATGCCAGTTGCTTTACCCTTCCAGGTCAAATAAAAATTGAGATTTATGCTTATTGTACTTTTACAAAGATTGTTTTAAGCTACCTGTAAGCAAGAGTTTTTTTTAATGCACAGTACAGACACTTTAAATACACAATTACTAATATTTTCAAACAAATGTTTCTCATGCATTCAGCCAGCTAGTCTGGAGACAGGTTGATACCTACTGACTAATCAGCAGTACATCCAAGGCAAATATATGGCCTGATGGGGATGAGTCTACAAGATGCAAAACAAATTATAAGGGTGTTGGAGTCAGAGATACAGAGTGTGTGCCCTTATCTCTGATACCTGTCTCTGACATCCAAGAAAGCACTGAATTTCATATAACACCATGGAAACAACTGTTAAAGTTAAATGGAAAAACTAGGAGTGTGAGTGTGCAAGTTAGAGTTTTCTTAAGTCACTAGGTAAAAAAGTTAAGAGTTTAAGGTTTGGGTTCTGTTATAAAACAAAAAACAAGATGGAGGATTTAGAGTGCTGTCTATTCTTCCTTCTTCTTCCTCCATCTTCTTTTTTTAGGGGTTTCTGGGTAGTAATAAGTAATTGGATAAAAAGTGCCGCAGTGCAGCACACAGGTATTGAGTCACTAAGAAAAATAATTTACGTGGCATTTGTTAATTGGATAAATAGACATATAAAAGACCTTGAAGAAGTTCTGTGTTAGCCATTTTGCACCTTTCTATCTTAGTGCATGTAGCTCCTTGCACTCTGTATACATGTAATGTAGATAAGAGAAGAATAAATAACCAAGTCTTAACAAGAGAAAACTGCCTCTCTCTCATCAATCTCAGTCCAAGGGGGAGAAGAACCCAGTCACAAGAGTCTCATCAGGACATAAGGATACATGGCTTTATGCAATGCTACTGTTATTTTACTGTAAATATTTAGGAGGAAATGTTCTTATACATATTATAACACTTTTTCTTCACTACTTTCACATACAGAAGGCAGTATAATTCATGTCAAAGTAAAATGAACTCAGTGTAAATTATGCTACTGGTGAATTCAGAACAGTTCAAGCCACTAATTCATCTTATGAGACGGCCAGTTATTGTAATTTTAAAGTCATTATATACATGGCTTTTTATTAGAAAATGCTTCCTTTTTTAACATTGCTCAACTTATACCAGTTTATTACGTCCCACCACTGCATTAGTTTTCATTGTTACTGAAGAAAAGGAGGGTGGAACTAAGGATACAGAAAACAAAAAGAGTAGATTTCAAACACAAAAATGGTGCAAATGTGTAACTTTCAATGGTATTTTGAATCTGTTTGGCCAAATAGCAACAACAAAAAAGAATCCTATAAGCATTGCTAGTTCTGTGCTTCCAGCTAGAGATTTCACCAAAACAGCTCACCTTTTGTTTCCTTTTTTTACTAAACTGTTGCTCTTCTCCTTCTTCTTCAATCAGTTTGAGTGCAAGTTCTTTATTAACTTTTGGGAGTTTCTAAAAAGAGGAAAGAAATTAATAAATTAGCCTTTTATGCATGCAACCTACATGTTTTAGATTCTTACAACTATTGCAGAAAAGCTCCTTGACTGGTTCCAAATATCTCTAGGTACTAGTAAAGCAACTGCACTTAGAGAAGATTTAAGAACTTGTATTTTATTTTTAACTTCTAATGCATCAGCTTTAGAAATTTAAAAACAACTCTTTCACCTTTTATGCTGAACAGATTCAATCTAGAAAGTTACTAGTTATAAACACAATACATTTTTATGTATCTCTTTCCAGAGTATCATGTTTCAATGGCTTAAGTACTTTAATGACAGAAGCAGAAAATGCTGTTTTACCAGTGGATTATCTGCTCAAGTGGCAAATGAGTGCTGCTCTTTTAGTTTGGTATCAGCCTTTCAAAATCACACGTATGGGAATTTTATGTTATAAATTACTTTGTGTGTCCAGTCATAAACACAACCAAATCCTAAATCACTACATCTGTAAGATACACTTAGGAAAATATTACTCTTTATGAATAGTTTTCCCTGAAGTATTCTATTTGTTTCTAGGATTTACCTTCAGTTGAACTCTCTGTGCACGTGTTTCTTCTATCTTCTGCCTTATTTTCTCTCTTCTATATTCTTCATAGGCAAAGGGGTTGGCCATCGTTTTTGCCTTTGAACAAGCAGGAGGACATAAAAAAAAAATACTATAAATACAGGACACAGTCCATTATCTGGATGGAAAAAAACCCCAGCCAAAACAAAAAACCACAGAAAGACAAAGAAAACCCCCAGCACATACATTTTATTGTTAAGAATAAAAATTTACAAGATTCAGCCTTATCTACCTTATGATAAAGTCTTATGTCCATGAAGAAGCCATGCATATATGCTCTGAGCAATGATGATCCAATGAGATGAGCAAGGCCTAGGAAAAAATTCCGGAGAATTTCAAAGAGCTTTCATATCTAAAGAACTTCTATTCCAAGCCAGTGAGTTAACTTCCTTAAGACAAACAAGCACTGCCTATGCAAAACAATAATCTAACAGTCACAATCATGACATCAAGACTAAATAAAACTGTGAATAAAAATAATTTTGACCAGCAAAAAATTTTAAGCTTCTTCAGAGCATTAAAAAAACACTTTTCTTGTCATAATCCATGCTACTGAGCACTTTGAACAAAATGCCCACATGCACCATGCTCTGTAGAAGTTCACAAAGAATTCCAGGGGACTTTTTGAAAGTCCATAGGTGTTTGATAATACCTTTTTTAGTATGATAGAAAGACTGTTTCATTTAAAGAGTTTTGCTTTGGGTCAAACCCAACACTCACAGTCAGAGGTAAATTAAGTAAATTGGAGCAAAACATTGCAATCAAACCATGTAATGGACAGACAAAGGACTAAATTCCACAGGAGAAGGTTGCTTACCCTCTCTGCTATATAATTTTCAGTATTCCAATTTCTTGAAACTATTAGCCCTAGAATGATTTGTATTTTCTGAAAATTATTACATTCAAATAGGGTAGCCTTTGGCTGTGAGTTCCAATTTCTACTTGAACACCTCAAAAATATTTTGAAAACTAAACCAACTTCTCTTCCTATGCCTTCCATGTGACATATGAAAGCACACATAACAGATTCCCAGACTTACATCAGCAAATATCAATCACCTTCTTGGGATAAAAATCTGAGAAACACAAGTGTCTAGTGTTGAATTGGTTGGGAATCAAGGAACTTAAAACCATATTACTGGAATATTAATAACCAAGAAAACAAGAGGAAATTACTGCCAGTGAACTTCTAACAGTCCTCATACATCACACTGAAATTACAAATATCAGATGCATAAATGTTCAAAAATTGAACAAAGAGGACAGCAAAAGAGTGTATACAACTGTTTTACCTAAATTTTCAAGGTCTTTTCTGGTAACAAATTTGTAATCATCATAAACAGTGCTTTCTGGATTCTCTTCCAGTTCTTCAGTCAAGTTGTCCAAGAAGGAACACCATTTTGGGGCAGGTCCTAAAACCTGTGGACATTATGCAGTTATAACATTGCATTTTCTTACAGAAAAAGCCTGCAGTTAAGCTCTGGGCTACTGTGCTACAATGGAACAACAAATTAATCCCACAGTACTTAGAAAATACAATTAAACTTATTGCTTGCATTACCAACAAGGAGTACTATAGATTATGTAAGTGTTGTTTTAATTTAGGTCATTTGAGACCAGCCAGTCCGGAGGTTTCAAGCGTAACTGCTTCAAGTGGTCACAGTCTGATGAATTTATTAAAGGCTTAGAGCCAAACATTATAGAAGACATTACAAACTAATGGCACCAGATAGCAAGTAACTTGTAAAGTGCTGCTGGATCTTGAACTCGTTAGATTCACTATGCAATCATGTTGAACACTACTCTGACCTATTTATTTTAATTATAACACCACAGATATATTTCATATATTTTATTCAGGGATAAACCCAGACTGTATGAACAGATAATAAGAAATACTAAAACTACTTGCATATTTCCATGATGAGGGCAAAGGATTTGTTTGCACAATATTAGGTAGCACAATCAGTGTATTTTCCTCCAATTTCTCAAGTTAAAAATCAGCTCCCTTTACTTTTCCCTCCCGCTGTTCTGATTCAAATTCCTTTCCATCTTGACTCATGCAGCCACACTCAGCTGTTCCAGCAATCTTATTTTAGTAGGTGTGTTAGCTGCATGGAAAAATCTAACACTGCATTTCTCTCTTTAGTGTAAATGAGCTGACATTTTAGAATGTTAAGTGACCAGTTAAATCCTATAGTGGGACTTTGAATGAAGTTTCTGATTTGTTTGCTAAAAATTAATGTTAAAAACTCTGCAGTCAACCATAGGAATGCTTGTGGTACAACAACATTTTAAGAGCCTATTCTATTATGGAAACAACTAGAAGTGATTTTATTTATTTAACAAATACACAGTTTGTTTTAATGTGATTGTATGATAACAATATGAGATAATGCCGTTCATTTAAAAAGTGCATTTCATCTATTTCAAAAGTCTTTTTTTTAAGACAACTACACATAAAAAACCTCAAAAATTGTGTTCTAGACCATAACATTCTATCTAACATATTCTTGCCTGTAACACACCATAGAATATTTTATTCTAGCCCGCTATTGTTTCTTTATTAAATATTATTTATCTTTCTAACATTTCAGCCCTATCTGAGAACCATTACATGCCAAATAAAAAAGTGCACTTTTTTTACCATGCTGCATTTTTCATTCCAAATACCAAAAGCTTCCACAGAAATACTCAAGATGTCACTAACAAGAAACATTTTACCTACTTAATTAACCAAAATCCCCATGTCTGCTCCAGGAATACATGGCATATATAACATTCAGACTGACTTCTTGCCAACATTCCAGAAGCTTTTGTCTCCATCCAGATTTTAATTTTTTATTTTATTTCCCCCAAGCCCACTTATTTAAATGCCAAGCTTTTATATTAAAAAGAAAGCAGTCTAGATCTATTAAATGTCTTCATGCCACTTAAGAACAGTTATCTGTGCCTCATTACCAGACCATCAAAGCATGATTGGTGTGGAAGAACCTTAAGTTTACCTATGATTTTGTTTTAGATGAAGCAGTTTATCCTTCTTATTAAAAAAAACTCCCAAGGTGCTTACTTACTAAACAAAACTTCTCTTGTAATAAAATTTAAGGACAACATTCTCTCCTATACTCAGAACTTGATACTGAGAGTAAAACCTTTCATTGGGTGTAATCTGTGCCATGAAACACATAAAGTAAAAAACCTGATTATTCACAATAACCTGTGGAGTGAGTTGGATGATCAGATCCTAGAAAACAAAGTGGGGGAAATGAGATACTTAATGGAAAAAAGTGGTGGCAGAATACCAGGAAAAAATAGAAAGTCCAACCATTTCACATGTTACCTGACAGAAAGGAAAACCCTACAGAGATGTCTGTGTATATTTTATTATCTTATTTCCCTTTCTCCCACCCCACTTGAAACCACTTGCCTACCTATTCTAGGACACCTTAGGAGCTCTGCTTCATGCATTAAAATGAAACATTTTTTAAAGCTTAGGAAGAAATTCAAAATTAGGAAAGGCAAACAATATCAGCCACAATGCCAAGAATATAAACAAGAAATGTCCTTCTTTTGCAATACTAATGCTTCACAGAATTTAACTGCCTCTTCATTTTTAACTGCAGAATTTAATGCTCAACTGTCAAGCAACAGTCATCCCAGGATGATGCTAAAAGCACTCCAGAATGCCAGGCTCCAAGGTTCCACCATTCCTATGCCCAGGAACAAAAGCAACAATTGACAGGGTTGGTCTGCACTGGGCCTCCAGGGACAAGGTGGGAGAAGTGAAACTGGCCTGTCTTCCCCAGTTCATGACTTTCCATACAGTGGCCACACTGCAACACGTGTGGGAGCCCGTGGGACCCCTTGGAGCTGCTGCCATCCAGCACTGGCACCACCTCAGCCTGGCCTGTTAAAGCCACCACAACAAAACAAAGCTGTGGAGTTTGTGTAGGTCAATTAATATACTTGCCAATTTTGAGTGGAAAGGTACAAATCTACCACACCTCACAAAGAAAAATGCACTGAAATTCACAGCATGAAGAAAAAAATGTTATGAGGTATTTACATGCAACTTAAGTGACAGATATAATTTTTACAATATTCATGATACACCAAATAGGTTTCTGTGCAAGTTTTAGAAAAGTTGCTCTCAGCCAAGTGGGAAAATCATTATTAAATAAGTGCACATCTATTCTCAACTTTTATCCAAATTCTTTTTAGCATAGGAAAATCTGACATGAGCACCAAGAATGATTGAATCAATATTTTTTCCTGTTTTCATTATTATTATTATTTTGTTTTCTGTATGAGATAACCACTTCTTGAGACAATTTCTGCCAATTGCTGCTGAAAGTCAGTAAGATTGCTTCAAAAATGTTGTTGCCCATAAACAGAGGACCCTGTACCAGCAGGGCCCAGCTGGCAGAGAGAGAAGGGGTGCTCCATGCTCTGTTCCCCTCCCTTGAGCAGCTGGAAGCAGCACCCATGAGGTGACCAAGTGCAGCTGTCCCTCAGTGTCTCACCACCACACTGCAGGGCAGTGACAGATGGGCCACCCCAGTCCCTTCCTCTCCACAGCAAAGATTAGCACTGTGATGGTAATGCAGACACCTCACCACTGCCCTTCATCTTATTCCAAGCCATAGGAAGTAAAAATGTGGACTTAATTCCTGAGCACTTCCGTAGAAAATATCATCCTGTCATTGGTCTGCAATTCTCCTAAAATTAATGAACTTTAGGACAGCATAGATATTATTCCCAGCACACTAAAGATGTTCCTTATCTTCAATTTGGAACCCTTCACAGCACTTGTACACTTTTAAACACCACTCAACAGTTTGACAGCCAGCTCTGCAGAGCCCTTAGAGCCAAAAAAACCTGCCTTAATCCTTATTAGTGTTAAACATATTTAACAGCTTAAAAGAAGACCAGGATGCGTAGAAGCTTCCACAGTTAGATATCAAGAGATTTAAATTAAGCTACTATGAATGCACATCCAGATGAGAGTTGTTAAGTATCTGTTTGAAAGTTTCTGAGATCAATTCTACAGGAGTGACTGAACAGTTGCTCTTTTCTTCTCAGGCAGTAAAAACAGGTTCCGAAATCTGTTTTTCTGGATGTTAAACAGTAAGTTCCTGGAAGATTTCAAACACAGCAGTGATAAACTCCTCAGCAATAAACAAGATGTCAAAATATAGTAAGACTCAACCCTCTAATCTTCACTGGTTTATTTCAGCAATCAAAAATATGCAAAATGTTCACTGACAGCATTAATGGGATTTGAAAATTAGTTAGCAGAATTTGGAAAGGTTAGACTGCCCAAATTCCCTCTAGAAGACTAAATATATGTGGGCATCATTCAACAGTTCCAAAGGCTTTAGAAAGCAGAAGCATTATTTGCTGCGGCTGCAAGAGACAGCAGCAGGCAGATTCACAAAAATTTCAGTTTCACAAAAATTAACTCTGCAAGACTGCATCAAGCCACACCATAGTGATACAGTTAGTAACAAAAAAGCAAGAAAATACAACCTATCACCGTTCTTTTGTATTTTAGAAATAAAACCTTCTGTCAAAAATCTGCGTGTTGTAGTACCTCCTACACATTTTGACAAAGACCATTACTGAGTAGCAAAAATGTACTAACTAAAATAATTCACTGCCGTATTATTTGAATAATGGTGATTACAACAAAAATAGCATATATTTAAGGTCTTCAACAAATCTCTAGGTACAGTGCATTGTGTAAAATTATTCATGAGCTGGTGGAGACATTTTGTACGACTCTGGTATATGTGAATGCAAACTGTATCAAGGACTGTGAAAGGCAGCAAGGAGGATTTCTGAAACAGTAATGCCTGCACAAGTACAAATACATCACAGAGACACTGTAAACTAGAGCTGAGCTAAGCATCAGAGTGACTCTTAACAGCCTTTTATGTGGAGATAATGGGGAACAACTAACAATTAATTTTCAGACAAAATCTGAAATATTCAAGGAAAACATGATACAATCTGAGTGCTTGTGATAAAATGGGACTTGACTTCACAATCCAAGGTAACTCCTCCATTCCCATTAAAAAACAAAACCAAAAATAAAACTTAAAGTACTTCAACAAAGACAGATTATTTTCTAGACTATCATTTCTTGAAACAAAATATATTTTATGTCTGACTCAATGACTTCACTTATAGGAGACAAAAAATAATTCTTTGGAGAGGACAAATAATAACAATAAAATCTTAATTTTGTTTTTTTTTTAATGAAATGTCACAATATGAAGCATTTAAACCCTTTAAAAGAATATAATTGCTGGAGAAAGCAAATGCACATCTATGCATGCATATTCTCAATTTCAATCACACCATTTAACAGGAGAAAGATTACAGAAGGTCTAATGAGGAAGGTAAAAAAAAATAAT